AATCCAATTTTGGCTGAGAGATCATTTGAAAGGTATATCATAAGAACATAAGAAGAGCCCTGCTGGATCAGACCAATAGTCCATCTAGTCCAGCATCCTGTCTCACACAGTGGCCAACCAATTCCCCTGGATGGCCAACAATGGGGCATAGAGGCCTGGCATTCCCCTGATGTTGCCCCCTGGCTCTGGGATTCAGAAGTTCCCCTCTGAGGAATGTGGAGGCTCCCCTCGGTCACCCTGGCTAGTAGCCATTGATAGACTTATCCTCCATGAATCTAATCCCCTTTTAAAGCTGTTTATCCCTACCGCCATCACTACATCCTCTGGCAGTGAATTCCAGATTTTAATCACTCCCTGTTCAAAGCAATATTTCCTTTTGCCCATCCTGAATCTACTGCCCATCAGCTTCACTGGATGCCCTTCAGTTCTAGTAATTTAGGAGAGGGAGAAATAGTTCTCTTTGTTAATTCTCTCCCATCACATGTATAATTTTATAAACCTCTATCATGTCCCCCCCCTTAGCCATCTCTTTTCTAAACAGAAAAGTCCCAGACTCATCAGCCTTTTCCTCATAGGGAAGGTGCTCCAACACCCTAATCATTTTAGTTGCCCTCTTCTGTACTCTTTCCAATTCTGCAATGTTCTTTTGGACCTACAATGACCAAAACGGTGCACAGTATTCCAAATGAGGCCGCACCATAGATCTATACAGGAGCATTACAATATTGGCCGTTTTTTTTCTCAGTCCCTTTTCTAATAACCTCCAGCATAGAGTTTGCCTTTTTTACCACTGCAGCACACTGGCTTGACACTTTCATTTAGCTATCCACTACAACCCCAAGATCTTTCCCCCTCTCTTACCAACACTGAACTTCATTTGCCACATTGTCGCCCACTCACCCAGGTTGTGGAGGTCCTCTTGGAGCTCTTCACAGTCAGCCTTGGTTTTCACCATCCTGAATAATTGTGTGTCATCTGCAAATTTGGCTACTATACTACTCACCCCTAGTTCCAGATCATTGATGAATAAAAATAGTACCGATCCATGTGGGACCCCACTGCTTACTTCCCTTCATTGTGAGAACTGTCCATTAATTCCTACTCTTTGCTTCCTCTCATTTAACCACTTCTTAACCCATAAGAGAATTTGTCCCTCTTATCCCATAACTTCTACATCTATTCAAGAGTCTTTGGTGAGGTACCTTGTCAAAAGACTTTTGAAAATTCAGGTATATAAGGTCTACTGGGTCACTATTGTCTGCATTTCACCCATATACAGTTAAGCTCTAAAACTGAGAAAGATCCATTAGACTATTTGGTTACATTTTTCTTATTCAAAGCAACACACATTTCCAAATATGCAACTGTCATAACCAAAAAGATGTTGCTACTACATAGTCAAAGTCAGTGTTATTAAAAAGCAATCTAGGGGAGAATTTCTATGTTGTGCTTTACTGTTCCTGCCTTGGGTCGATCCGTATTTGTCTAATACATTCCTTACATTGCATGGCATTAAATTTCTCTACAACAAGCAGACAGTTACCAAGTATATTTGGACACCATCAAGTTTTACAACCTCTTGGTAGAGGATGGCAGTTCTGTCCATGTTCTGATTGCAATGCAGCCTCTTAAGGTAAGCACAGAGCACAGTTTTAGTTGAAAGTCTGTATGACATTTCCAAGTACGAGCCACTGGTCCTGCTTAACTAAAGAAGAGTTAACAAAGGAATGTATTCTTGCAGCTCAAATTCAATTAAATAAGACTTCTGCAGGAGAAGTTCCTGGTGGGTTGTACAACAAATCTTTAGGCTCAAATGACACTTGGATAAAACTATTTGAAAACCAAAAGATTTCAAACAGTCTAAAAGGAAATAACCAGGAAAAACCTTTAGCTAGCTGCCTTTTTAACTGCATTTCTGCCTCTTAAATAAAGTCCTTTACACAGGAGTGCAAGGCCACCTTTTATCCATTAACCAGTAGATATCCCAGAGTCTCAAAGAGGACACAAAGCATCTGCCAGTCACAGAGATCACTTTGAATCAACACAACAATGCTGCTGCCATTTTCACTGGGGTCCTCTAAGCTGGGGCAGGATTTAGGGGGGCCTGGTTTGCATTGAAAAGACTTGGCTGCCAAATTCCAGAAGCTGCTTAGAGAGAGCAATGCTCAGTCATGGTTTTGGAATGCTTCCTTGTTCCTAAGCTATTCAACAACTAGCACAACCTCCTCCCCACCCTCATATAAATGTTTAATAGTGAGCTAAACAAGCAGAGATCACTTATTTTTCAAAGGTCACAGAGAATCACTGTTCACTTCACAGGACAAGCCAGGAAATGTCCCAGCAACACAAAAAGGCACTAAGTTCCCAATAAGCAGCACATCAGAGCATGCATGAAAAACAAGCAGAGCCTGAGAATTGTGCTCTCATCTAGCTGCTGTTCTTAGCCACCATATCATTCATCTCATTTTGCTAGTTACAGCTCCCACCCATCCTTACTCACTAGTGATTGGGGTGGGGGGGATTAACACATCCGAAACCCTGTCAAAAGTAAGGGAAGCCCAGAAACTAAAGTATTAAAAGAACCCTTCCTTTATGATATAGTAGGGAAGGTGAATCCAAACTTGGGCTCAATTTAAGCCTGGGTTCAGTTCCTAAACATATAATGAAATGCGGGGGGGGGGGAGCTCCTATGAGCATGTGCAGATTAAAGTGGCTCACTGATGAGAGAAAAGCAGAATCTCTTCCAGGATTAGAGATAAAGCTTTCAAGGTCAGAGTAGAGATAACTCCAGGTTTGGGGATAAGATTACCAGCAGCCCTGGAGAAAAATATCCTGTCCCTTTCATAGAGGCTTAAAGTAGAGATGGGAAGCTGGAGCTCTTGAGGCCATGGAGATAAATAGCATTCTATTAAGCCTCCATTAAAGGGACAGGCCATTTTTTTTTCTCCAGACATCTGGCAATCTGACTCAAAACCCAACGTCTTTACTTTTAGAAATTAAAAGCAGTCTAGCTCCTCAAACAATATGGCCTTTTCAGCAACAAGTTTAACTGGGAGGGCCCTTTAAGAAGTGAAGGTGACTGGGTCAACACCTTAACATTCCCATCTCACAGTCTGCCAACAAGTTCTACTCTCTAGCACCTCACCTTCTTTGCAACTGAGCTGCTTGGCAGATCTGGTTAACTTCAAGGCCCTCCAATTATTAACTCCTTTCCAAAAGGGATTAATGGAAAGGTAACAAAGAGGCCCACAAAGAACCTTACCCTTCATAACACACAGTAACATTATCTATTTATCCAGGTACTAGAAGCAGTGCCTCTTTAGTGGTAGCCCATCATGTTGTGGAACACCATTGGTCCCCTGACACACACCATTAGTAAGCAACTCACAAATTTTTAATCCAACCAGAGACCTGAAGAAGTGCTTCTTGCAACTGTTTTGAAGAGAAAATGGACTTACAGCTCCTCCTTAAAATTTCTAAAGGAGTTTAAATATGATTTCTTTGAAAATTTTCATTGGTGTTGCAATCCCATTTGTTTACTTGAGCTTTTAATGGGATTTGAATACCAAGTATGGAGGGGTGATACTTGGTGTTTGATTTTGTTAGCTTGAAAATGTGGTGCTTTGTAATTACTATTTATTACTGTGAGACATCATGAAAGGTCAGTCATAAGTATTTTAACTAATGTGTGTTTAAAAAATTGATTTTACATTACCAGTTGCCTCATTGAACAAAAAGTTAAAATACAATAAACTTAGCCTCCACTCATGAAAGCCCTCCTCTCCATTTACATCTGGAGCAGTGTTCCCTCTCAGATGAGTTAGTGTGAGCTAGCTCACAGTTTTTTGGCCTCCGGCTCACATATTTTTGTCTCAGCTCAGGAAGGATGGCTCCAGAGCAAACTAATTTCTGCAGCAGCCAAATTGCTCGCTCACAACTTTAATGCCAGTAGCTCACAAAGTAGGATTTCTGCTCACAAGACTCCACCGCTTAGAGGGAGCATTGATCTAGAGTAACAACTTACATTCTCCTTACTGTCCAGCCCAATCTCTTCCACTACAAAAATTACAGTACCACCATCTTCCCCTTGTATCTGTAGGTATCCTTCCTCCTTATATAACACAATAGCATACCAATTGCTGTCCATTAATCTATTCCCTCCCCTCATTCCCCTGTTCCATGTACAACATGTACTCAACCAGTAGGAGAAAGTTCTTCCCTTTTCACCTCTTTGGGTTGCCAGTGCCCCCCCCCCCTCCAATCCTCGGAAGGGGATGGGGGTGGGTAGGGTTGTCAGATCCAGGTTGGGGAACTCCTGGAGGTTCGGGGGCAGACCCAGAGGAGGGTAGGGACCTCAGTGGAGTACAATGCCATCGAGTCCACCTTGCAGCACATCCATTTTTTCCAGGGGAACCGATCTCTGTAGTCTGGAGATAAACTGTAACTCCAGAGGGTCCCCACATCCTACCTGGAGGCTGACATCCCTACTTTTGAATTAGCAAACACTACAGACATTATGGGAGGGCAGAAGCCCTTCTTAGAAACACCGCTAAAGCGTAAATCCCTGCAGAACTCCGCACAACTTCCTTCCACGTACAGCTGTAGAGAAACGTGTTGTCAACCACGTCCAAGCAACGAATCCAATACGCTCCAATCCCCCTGAACGTTGGCAAAGCTGTTTCTGAGTAGCATGCACTGAATAGTACGGCAAGTGGGCAGAAGGGACTCGCCCTGCTCCTCGTAACGACCGAATCGCAACGCACTCCTCTCCCCCAGCCTCACAGGCTTCCTCATTCTTATTTGGCCCCCTGGGGCTGGCCCCAACCCAACCGCCTTTCTTCCCCTATAAGGCTCCCCCCTCCCGTCTCCACTGCTACTCAATCCTCCCCCCGCACCAATCCATACCAAGCTACTTCCCAGGATGGGACGCAAAAGAATACTCGGGTGCTGGTCGGATAACCGTCCCGAGGGAGCGGCCCAAGTACATCGGGCCCCCGTACCTTGGGGTGGTGTCGGGCCGCTGCCTCGCTCACTCTCTTCTTCGCCCTGACTAAGCGGCTGGAAGGAGCAAGAGTCGAGCCCGTTCTCACTTCTTGGGACTGGCAGCGCCTCTGGGGCCGCCTCAGGGAGGAGCTAGACTTGTTACGGGGGCGGGTCAGCGATCTTTCGTTTGAATAGTCTAGGAGGGTTCCCCGGCAGTTAATGAGAACAGAGTCTCTCCGAGGTCCAAAAGTCAGCATTGCAACACGCGAAGTTGCAGCGCTTCTGAAAATAGAATGCATTTTTCGTCACTGACTAATCGCTTTGTAAACGCCTGGAAAGAGTTTCCGATCGTGATGATAGTTTCGACAGCGCAAAGTTCAGTAGTTCACGACTCCTCCATCCTTGGAGATCACGCCCTCTTTCCTTCTCAGATTTGTTGTTAGGGAATGCAATTGGAAAGCACTCTCTATGTAGGTAAAGGCGTTCTTCTCTTTGTTGCTATTTCTTCCAAGGCGAAGGTTGTGCCGGCCGTCGTGTAAACTCCTGGGGGCATAGGGTACCAGAGATGTGGGCATGGGCAGAGCAGCCGAGAATGAAGAACTCTCTAGTATTAAAACAAAACACACCCACCCTGTATGTTTTGAAAAGTATAACAGTTGAGAGACTGAGCCACCAGATTAAAGTAGTTCAAAATCAAACCCCTTAGGTGAGACCTGATATGTGGAATATACTATCTCCTACAGAGTACTTTAGTTCCTATATGTAAAACCCCACACATAATTAGGGAAACTATGAAAATACTTCATTTTTGTGCTATAGTGGGAATTGTATGTTACATAGCTTTATATAGGATGCAGATGGTCAGATAATGACTTCAGGTCTGCACAGTTGGATAGATATTCACAGTAGACCAGAGGTCATTTCGGGGGGGATCGCAGGGGAACGCAGTTCCCCCGGGTGAGGTGCAGGGGGGCGGGGCACATGACGAAGCCCCGCCCCCTGCTTCTGGCCGCCCCGCTTCCAGCCCTCATTCAGCCAGGAGGAGGCAGGAGAAGAGGGAGGGTAAGTTGCTTCCTCCCCGCCTCTCCCCACCCCTGCCTGCCTGGGGCCAGGGAGGGCCTTGGCGGGGCTTCCTCGCACTCCCGCTGACCTTGCAGGTCCACCGCTGGGCCCCTGATGTCAGGGGGTGTGGCATATGCTAATGAGTTATGCTAATGAGTTCCCCTAGCTCTTTTTCTACGAAATGACCCCTGCAGTAGACTGTCTTTTACCAAAGCACTTATCTCCAGGGAGTGAAGAGTCATCGGCCACGGCTTCATTAACTAAAGGACCGTGGTCTGCCCACTCTTGGAAAAAAATCTCTGGACCCAGCTGATTTGGCAAATTACTAGCCGGTCTCCGACTTACCCTATCTGGGTAAAATAATAGACAGGGCTGTGGCAATTCAGCTTCAGGGCTTTTTGGATGGCGCTTCCATTTTCGATCCCTTCCACTCCACCTTTCACCTGGGCCATGGGATGGAGACAGCACTGGTCGCCCTCATGGACGACCTCCAGAGACATCTGGATTGGGGCCAGGCCCATAGCTAACGTGGGGCCCGTGGGGCCCACAGGGCCCACCCCCACGGCTTTTACAGGTTCCCCCTCCATGGCCAACCTTAACACCCTTCTAAGCAGGAGCCCCCCACCCCACCCCCAGCCTAGGCAATGATAAAAAGAGAGAGATCGCATCCGATCCACGGAGCAAGCCAGGCTGCTCTGCTGGACCAGACTGGAAGTTTACTCCCACCCACCCCCTGCCTGCTCCCCAGCCCCTTCGCCGGAGCTGGAGGGAAAGGGTGGAACTGCCCCTTTTCCGCCTGATGGAAGGAAGGGGGCTGGGGGATCCGCAGTGGCAGCAGCAGGCAGCGTTCCCGAAAGCCAGCGACACACAAAGGTGACAGGACGCCGCACGCGTTTCCGCCCCAAGTGCCTGGAGGAGGCAGTGGGCACGTTGCCTTGGGGGGCGCCTGAATGTCACCACGCTGCTGTCCCCCCCCCCCGCCCTTTCCCCCCGGCTTCTCCCCCGCAGCCTTTACGGCACTCCGTCCCTCCTAGAAAGGTTAGCCTGAGACATGATGGCAAGTATCCCGCCTCCTGCCCCCCCCCCCCCGCCCTTTCCCTCTGGCTTCTCCCCCGCAGCCTTTACGGCACTCCGTCCCTCCTAGAAAGGTTAGCCTGAGACATGATGGCAAGTACTCCCTGAGACATACACAGAGATCGGACCAAAATCCAAAAAACAGATCTGAATCAGCCGGGACCCCGGGGGACTCATTTAGAGTTTCCTCCCCCCTCGGTTGCAGCCGGGGTGCCTTAGGAATCCCACCAATTAAATCCCTGAGACAGACACAGAGATCGGTCCAAAATCCAAAAAACAGATCTGAATCAGCCGGGACCCCGGGGGACTCATTTAGAGTTTCCTCCCCCCTCGGTTGCAGCTGGGGTGCCTTAGGAATCCCACCAATTAAATCCCCTGGCCCCCTCCCCAACAACTCCTTAGCTACTGGGCTGATGGGGCAGTTTGACAGTGCTGTTGCTATTGGACCTGCATAAATTAGTTTGTTCTAGAGCCATCCTTCCTGAGCTAAGGTGAAAAATCTGTGAGCCGGAGGCTAAAAAACTGAGCTAGCTCACACTAACTCAATTTAGAGGGAACACTGCTTGAGGGTTCCTTACCATGCAAGTTGACCTGGCCCGGTGGCTGGCACTACAAATCTCTGCCACAGTTTTCCTAGGTAGAGACTGCGGGGAGGGGAAATGGACAGTTTAAGACAGAGGGGCAGATGAAGGTGGATAGGTGGGAAGGAGAAAAGGCTAGGAAATTCCTAGAGATTTAGGGGATGGAGCTGAGAGATGGTGGGGTTTGGGAGGGATCGCAGAAAAATATAATGCCATAGACTCCACCCTCCAAAGCAGCCATTTCCTCCAGGGGAACTAGGGTTGTCAGCCTCCAGGTGGGGGCTGGAGATCACCCAGAATTACAACTGAGGAGAAGAAGAGGAGGAGGAGATTGGATTTATACTCCACCCTTCACTACCTGAAGGAGTCTCAGAGCGGTTTACAATCCCTTTCCCTTCCCCTCCCCACAATAGACACCCTGTGAGCAATGTTCCCTCTAAGCTGTGGAGTCTTGTGAGCAAAAATTCTACTTTGTGAGCTACTGGCATTAAACTTGTGAGCGAACGATTTGGCTACTGCATAAATCAATTTGCTCTGGAGCCATCCTTCCTGAGCGAAGACAAAAATGTGTGAGCCAGAGGCTAATAAACTGTGAGCTAGCTCACACTAACTCAGCTTAGAGGGAACACTGCCTGTGAGGTAGGTGGGGCTGAGAGAGCTCTAGAACTGCCCTTGAAAGATCAGCTCTGAAAAAATTTATGACTGACCCAAGGTCACACCAGCAGCTGCATGTGGAGGAGTGGGGAATCAAACCTGGTTCTCCCAGATTAGAGTCCACACTCTTAACTACTACACCAAACTGGCTCTAGATGGCATAGATCAGTTCCCCTGGAGAAAAAGGCTCCACCTCCGATCTCCAGGAATTTCCCAACTTGGATCTGGCAACCTCAACAGGGTTGCCAAGTCCCCGCTGTAGGTACAGCAGGGGACTCCAGCCGCGGTCCAGAAGTGACGCAGCCGCGTCGGGCACGCCGGGGGCGGGGCCGCAGTCATTTGAGGGAAAAACATAGAGTTTTCCCTCGGATGATAACAGCCCCGCCCCCGGCTCGCCCGGCGTGGCTGCATCACTTCCGGGTGTCATGCTGACGCCGGGCACATCATGTGCTTTGGGGGTGGGGTCCCCCCTGGGGTCCGATCCGCCGGCGGTGGGTAATGGGCCTCTGAGGCGGGGGTTTCCCCGCCCCCCTGGGGGACTTGGCAAGCCTAAACCTTAAGGGGGACTGATCTCTGTAGATGGGAGATCTGTTGTAATTCCAGGATATCTCCAGGCCCTACCTGGAGGTTGTCAACCCTAGAAGAAGAGAAGGAAGCTGGAAAAGAGGAAAGGCTCTGTGGGCTTTGAAGAAAAGGAAAGAAGAAATAGTGGGGGAGGGCTAAATGAAATGTCTCCTGCAAGTATTTGTAGGTTCCTACTTCGGTGGGAAGGTAACAGCGTTCCGTGCGCCTTGGTGTTTAGTCATGCCGGCCACATGACCACGGAAACGTCTTCGGACAGCGCTGGCTCTTCGGCTTTGAAACGGAGATGAGCACCGCAACCCTAGAGTCGGATTCAACTGGCTTTCGAGCAAGGGAACCTTTACCTTTACCTTTACATGTTTACATCTGTTACTTCCTTGGAAAAAATTACAAGAGCTATCAAGTATAACAGGTGTGTTTGCTTTGGAGGGGTACTACAGGCTGGAAAGTATCTCAAATAATCTTTTTGTACAAATCTGCCTTTAATTCCTTTCCCCACTGTAAGGAAGATTTTTGTTGTTGTTAGCCATTCAGTCATGTCTGACTACTGGTGATGCTATGGGCCAGCTCTCTCCACATTTTCCAATCTTGTACTGTTTCTTTGAGTCATTCCATGCTCAGGCTGGTGTCAACTTTTATGTTGTCTAGCCACTGTGTTCTTTGGTGGCCTGGTTTCCTTTTGCTGCTAACCAATCCAAAAATAATTGCTTTTTCTAGTGAGTTCTTCCTTGTGACATGGCCGAAATAAGTCAGTTGCAGTTTTATGATTTTTCCATCCAATGACATGTCTGGTTTTATGTGCTCCAATACTTGCTTCTTTGTCACCTAAGGAAGGAGTGAGTTATAATAAAGCGGCTCAATTTGTATTATAAAGATTGCACTGTAATTCTGGTTGAAAGGCTTAATCTCTCTTTTTCACACGGGGATTAGGTTTATCCTTCCTCCAGCTATGGGGCTGAACTCCTGTGACGCTGGCAGGAAAGAAAGCCCACTCAAGGCCTCTGGCTTTAGCCCAGCCAGACCTCAAAACCATTTCCGTTCTTTTCTTTTTTTAAAGAATTCTGTGTTCCATAGAAAGAAAGGGAGAAGGAGATGTGTGGGTTATGAACTTGCACTGCTTCTCCAGAAACAC